GGAGGAGGAGGAAGGAAGGAAGGAAGGACGGAGGGAGAGAGGAGGGGCAATGAGCAGGAAGGAACAGGAGGAAGGGGGAGGGATGGCGAGGGCGAGGGCTCGGAGGGCCCATAAGACTACGTGCCGAGGCCTGCACCCCGGGACCAAGGCCCAGACAACGAAAACGGCGAGGACAGACGAGACGACGACGCGACACCGCCAGCAGGCGCTGGCGCGAGTGCTGCAGAACCTGGGCAGGAGGGAGAGCCTCCTTCAAGACTCGGTGGGGGCTCTGCTGAAGTGGCACCCAAAAACCTGTCGGCGCGCACGGCGGGCCTCGCCGGAGGCTCCGCCTGGCCTCCCGCGCAAGCGAGCGTGCGGGGGCGGCCACTGGCAGCGTTCGAGGCCGAAGCCGATGGCACGCGGTCGCTGCCGCTGCATAGCAGCGGCTCGCGGGCGTCGCGGGCTCCTGGAGCACCAGAAGTAGCCTGAGCCGCGCGACGGGTCTCCTCCAAGGATGTCCTGGACGTGGCGGCAGCGCTCTGCGTCGTTGCCACTACGGTGCGCAAGCTCCCGCATCTCGACATTGGGGCCCGACGGGGGCACACCACGGCATAATACATCGTGGGGGCGATGGTGTTCTTCCCGAGCGACGTCACGGCGAACACAAGCCGGCCCCGCATCAAGCGAAGGGTGCGGGCGGGAGGAGGAGGAGGAGGAGGAGGAGGAGGAGGAGGAGGAGGAGGAGGAGAGGAACAGGAGGAGAAGGAGGAGGAGGAGGAGGAGGAGGAGGAGGAGCGCCACTCCCCATGGCGCACCCGTCCCGTCAGGAGCAGAAGGAGAACAACGAGAGGGAGCACAGATGAGTATGGCGGCGGGCGAGGGCGGTATACCTCGCCTTGGTGAAGGGGAGGACCTGGCTGCCCCAATCACCTGTTCGCAGCCCTTTGAGCGTGTGGTACATATTGAACAGGAAATCGATAAACAACATAATAGACAGTCTTCCCCCGTCGGGGAGGGGAAGCATCAAAAGACATACCTTAGCCTGAGCAGAGAGATCGGCGAACCCAGAGGGGAGGGCGGGAAGGCAGGAGGCGACAGAGGCGAGGATGGGACACTGAAGTAGGTGCAACACTCCGTCACCCTGGGGGGCGCGGCACAGAGGGCACACTTGGGTGGGACCTCTGAAACGACGAGTCGTGCACCAACTATTGCACAGGGTTTAAAGAAGAGAGGAAGAGACAGAGCAGGGGAAGGCGCGGGCGGCGGCGACGAAAGAGTGGACCACGAAGTTGACGTGGCACTCCTGGGCGGAAGCAAACCACCATCGCAACCGAGGGAGCAGGAGCTCGCGGACATTGCCAGGAACCCTGAGCTGAGCCTCCACTTTCGCCTGGAGCCCGCTTCCCCCAAAAGCGGGGACCCGCGGGATGGTCACCACTAGGTCACAGTTGGCCATCAGGGAACAGGCTAGAGAGCAGAGCCAGAGAGGGTGGCCCTTCCAAGCAGGGCAGCATTCGTCATCATCTACAAAGCTCAGGAGCATATCACGGGCCCTTGAGAACGCCGACGAATGAAAAGCACATCGATATCGAGCGGCTCGACTGGCAACCTCAAGATCCCTACCTTCAACGGGGAAGTCCAGCCCGCGCAAGTTCTGGAGGTCCTGCCGCGAGAGCCTGAAGTCCTTCGCGGAGGGTAGACAGAGCTGCGGGAGTAGGGGCGTGGAATTGGCCAACGTACATCATCCGCGGGAAGGCGCGGAGGTTGTGCTGAGCACTCGATTTCACGAGCCCGAGACCGAGAGACTTAATAGCACGGACCGCACTAACATATCTTCCAATCGGGTGGGACCAACTCTCTGCCGAACTCTCGTGCCCAAGCATAAGCCCAATATACCTCCCCGTCCTCCGGATGCTGAAGACACCCCTCCTAATACCACGATTCTTGAGCTCCCGCTCCAAATTCTCGAGGATATGCCGAGCGGGAAGACGAGGACGGTTTTCTTGGGGTTCAGGTGGAGCCCGAAAGCAGGCCCAGCGATATTCATCACCTCAAGGACAATCACGAGGGCATCGAAGACGTTCGAACAGGCGAGCCCCAGGTCGTCAGCAAAACAACCAGGGATCCCAAGATCGCGATGTACACGGGAGTCGAGATACCTAAGGAACGGGTCGTAGGTGAGTGCGAAAAGACTTCCGCTGAGGGGGGCACCCCTGCTTGATCCCGCGCCGACTCCAGTATCCGTGCTCACAGCATCCGCGAAAGCTGACAACAACCCAGCAGGAATAATAGAGCACCTGCACTGCACAGATGTACCATTCTGGAATGCCCATCGCTCTGAGCGTGAAGACGATGGCCGAGTGGAGGAGGGAGGGGAACGCAGCGCGAATATCTAGAATAATAAGTCCAGCCTGGGATTCAGCTCGTTGGGCGATCCAATGTATCAGCTTGGCCTCCAAATCTATGATATTGTCGGTTCCCAGGCGTCCAGGGACGAAACCGCGCTGAAAGTAGATGCAGGTTTCTTCGCAGACTCGGGATAGGGTACGGTTGAGAGCACGGCTGATCATCTTGTTCGAGGTGTTGCTCAAGGCGATGGGGCGAGTGTCCTCACGAGGCCTAACTACACGATGGGCATCTTCGGGGGCGTCACCTTTGGCCAGGTAAACTTGGTAGGCCCAATTGAACTCTGGATGAGCCTCTCCTGCGGTCAGAATATGCAAGTATAAAGCATTCAACGCAGACAAAGCTCCATCGCCACCCCCCTTCCAGGCAGCGTAGGGGAGCCCGTCGGGACCAGGGGCGGAGTCTCCAACCCGGGAAAGTGCTTCTTGAAACTCTTCTGGTTCTAGGGTCCAGAAGATCGAGGGAGGGGTAGACGGGATCAGGTGGACGAATTCCCCGCGCAGGACCTCAGACCCCTCGCTCCACCCATGCACCTGGCCCCAGTGATCGGCAAGCTCGCGGGATACGCTCAGAGGGTCGAGCAGCTCCTTACCGGTCGGGTCGACAACCCCCTCGAGGCCAACGCGCTTCCTCCTCTTGCCCCAAGCCGATAGATACCCAAGAAGCTCGGCAGTGCTCGACTCCTTCTTGGCCTGAGGGAGGCTGGGCACCTGGATTTCCTCCACGCGCGCACCAACGCATTGCCTCTAAAGGTCTGCCAGATGATCGTGAAAGCCTCGAAAGTCGGTCCAAACCCCCTCATACGGATCCAGGAACCGAGCTAGGGTGGGGCAGGCGGCACAAGCCCGACAAAATATAGCTTGACCATGTCCGTGCGGGAAGCTACCCGAACCCACAGCTCTCATGCCCCTAAACGCTGCCAGAGTCCAGGATAGAAGCTCGGGAGGCGAGCTGGCCGTGCGCATCTCCAGTCTACGCATGAGCCTCCGAGCAGATTGCTTGAGAACACAACTGTAATCTTCAACCGCCTGAACAGGGTGGTCGGAGATCGGGCCCGCCTCCAGAACAACCTCAGATACCATGGAAGGGAATTCGCTGCGCAAGCCAACCCAACGAGGAGCACGAAACGAAGAAGCGGCCGAAGTACACCCCGAAATCGAAGCAACCACAGGTACATGATCAGACACTTCCCCGAGCCCTGCAGGATCCCCCAGAACACGGCTAGCAGGATGGAGGTCGATCAGGTCTGCAGGCGGTATGTTGAAGTAAATCCTGTCGATTCTGCCCAATGATACCACTTGTTTAGCCTCCCCTACGCCAAGCTCGACCCGATGTTTGAAGGAGGGCTGCATGACTTCGACCAAATCTTTAAAGAGGCTGCTGGGGAACCTTGGGATCGGGGTGGAAGCGAAACTGACGGAGCCGTCGACAAGATGCCTACCCTCGCCCTCCGCTGGAAAGTTGAAGTCCACACAGAGAGCACCCAAGCAACGATCAGCAGACCAGAGAGCACGCCGAAGACAACGAAGAGAAGCGTATACGCCCTGCCTGCCCATTGCGGGGTCCAAATGGAATTTGGTGATTTGCGCGCAGTCGTGATCGTTGGCCAGCCAGAGAGTCTGCGCCCGCCCACCGATAAGAGAGACGTGATGTCGCCGAGGAAAAAGTGCAGCAAGGGGGGGGTGAAGAAAGATAGCAACACCGCCAGCATGGGGATTGTCTGAGAAGCTGCCAAAACTGATGCATCCATGGGCCTCGGAAGTGAAGAGGGTCAAGTCAGCCATAGTGCCACGAACCTCTTGGATACAGACGATGTCATGTACTTGAATAAGCTGGGTGGGTCGAGTAATTTTGCGCCGCGTGTTTTCCGTGGGACTGATGGCCCCAAACAAGGAGCGGGCATTCAAAATGACGATTGAGAGATGGGAGGGACTGCGGGCGGCACGGGTGGAGGGTGAGCCCAGGGAATACGTCATGGTCTGAAGAGGAGCTGGACGTGGATGAGGAAGTAGAGGCCGAAGAGAAGGAGAGACTGGAGCAAGGGCTGAGGGACCGCGGCCGTGAGCGAGGCCTAGAGACACCATCCTGCATCTCATGTCGGCTCCTCCCGCGACGCGCTGCGGTAGTCGAACTCCCACTGGCGTGTCCGGGATCCACTCCGCCACGAGCCTGAACATCTCCAACACAGCGCCCGCCAGAGAATGTCGTCAGGCACGGCCCGGCACGGTGCGGTACAAGGGGAGTGGGGCATGCAGAGGGGGCAGAGCATGAGGCCCATGCAGCCGCCGTCGGACTCGCTATCGAGCTGATAGCACCCGTAGCCGATGGCGCCTCGGACCCCGCCGAGGAAGCACATGAGCTGGCTGCTCTCGAGGATGGCTGAGATGGTGCACTTGCATTTCAACTTTGGATTGCATCGACCCAGCCCTGGACCATCTCGCGGTTCATGTGGAACTGCGCGAGCGTCACGAACTGGGGTGGATCTGGTACTGCTGCTGGTCGAGCTCTTCCATCTCGAACAGGACGTGGGCCTCCTCTCCAATAATCAGATAGAGCACGCCCTTGAAGCCGTTGGACCCCATCTTTTACGAGGTCTGCCACTTCTGCTGCGCCTTGCGGTAGTCCACAACACGCTGGAAGAGGAGGCCGAGCATGCGGTTCTTGCGCCGCGCGTGGGCGGAAGCATCCCGTCGAGCCCGAAGCTGCACTCGAGCACCGTTCAGCGGGTCGATCCATTCGGGCGGAGAGTCCTGGAGCCTGGAGCAGGCGTCGCGCATGGCCGCTTCGTCGCCGAAGGTGATGCTCACGCTCCTGTTGAGGTTGAAGGCTTTGATCGCAACCTTGCCCTGTACAGCTAGCGGGAGCGAGGCTAGAATCGTCTGGCCCGCGCGCTCCAGGACGGAGTGGAGCAGGGGCCGCGGGAACCCGCCGACCCACATCTTGCATGGGTTGCAGTGGCCGTCGCCCTTGGACCCCATGTCGTTTGCCTTCTGGGCGAAGTAGGAGCCCCAGGCAGAGAGTCGGCTGCCCCACTGGCAGCGCTAGTCCGCGGGGCAGCAGAGCTGCGTGGCGGGACGCTTGGAGGGAGCGCCACCTGGGCCGCCAGGACCTTGGCCTGGAGCTTGGCCAGCAGCGCGTGTTCTTGAGCGGCAGTCATCCCCTTCTGCTGGTCGGCCGTCAGCTTCTGCACCTGGGCCTCGAGGATGTCCATGCGCTTCTCTTGCTTCTCAAAGTCGGCCTTGGTGGCCATGTTGGTCTCGAGCCGCTGGAGGGAGCCCATCACAAGAGCGAGGGCGGCAGCGGCAGAAGGTTCGGAATCAGCACAGGCGCCTCCCCCCCCCGCAGGCCCAGGGGGACCGAGAGCGACGGGGGGCCCGCCAGGGGAGGCGCCACAGGGAGCAGGAGCCCGCATCAGCGCCTCCGCGGTGAGCGAGCCGTGGATGTCGTGCGGGATGCCCGCGGCGCTCTCCACGAAGTCCATCTCGCCCGCGCCGACCATCTCGAAATCGAGTGTGCTCTCCGCCCCAGCAGAGGGCGGAGAACAAGGGGAAGAACTCGCACGGCCGATGGGCGTGGCCGTCCCCATGGTGGTGGGTGAGGAGTGCGTCGGATCCTGTAGGTTCAGGGACAGGCCGAGGGAGGCGGCGGCCTCGTCCTCGGCGGGGATCATGTCGAGGTCGACGACATCACTGCAGGCCCCTTTGCCAGCAGCGTCTGCCCAGGGGTCGTGCAGCGAGTTATTGCCCTTGCCTTTGCTGCGCACAGCACCTGCAGGCTTGTCGCCGATGGAGCGTTTGACACCTGCGGGCCCCTTGCCCGCCCCAGCAGCGCCCGACGCAGAGCAGGCTGCGCCAGAGTTGGCCACCATGGCGGGGTCGCACGGGGTGACTCGGATGATGCCTAAACGGAGCTGTCCTGCGGGCGGCCGATGACCTGGCCTCGGGAGCAAGAAACAAGGCAGCTCGAAGGCAAAATGCCTATGAGGACCACTTTGGCCCTCAGTCTGGAGTCTCGCTACTCCGTAGCTTTCATCCAGACTTGAGCCAAAATGGCTACGGAAGAGGAGGAGGAGGAGGAGGAGGAGGAGGAGGAGGAGGGGAGAAAGGATGCTGATGATGATGATGATGATGATGATGATGATGATGATGATGATGATGATGATGATGATGGTGATGGTGATGGTGATGGTGATTGATGATGAGATGATGCTGATGATGATGATGATTGATGATGATGATGACGATGATGCTGATGCTGATGATGATGAGAGGAGGATGGATGAGGAGAGGGGAGGAGGAGAGGAGGGGAGGAGAGGAGGAGGAAAAAGGATGATGAGTGAGGGAGGGAGGAGGGAGGAGGAGGGGAGGATGGATAGGAGGAACAGGAAGAGGAGGAGGAGGAGGAGGAGGAGGAGAGGAGGACGAGGGAGGAAGGAAAAGGACTAACACCAGGAGAAGGATGGGAAGAAGGACGAAGAGGAGGAGGAGGGGGAGGAGAGAGGAGGATAGGAGGAAAGGGAAGAGGAGGAGGAGGAGGAGGAGGAGGAGGAGGGAGGAAGGAGAAGGACTAAACACAGGAGAAGGATAAGAAGAAGGACGAGGAGGAGGAGGAGGAGGAAGAGGAGAAGGTGGGGAAGCAGGAGCAGGAGCAGCAAGAGGAGGAGGAGGACGAGGAGGAGGAGGAGGAGGACGACGAGGAGGAGGACGAGGAGGGAAGAGGTGGAGGAGGAGGCAGGAGCAGGGAGGAAAGAGGATGGATGTGGAGGAAGGAGGGAAGGAGGAGGAGGAGGAGGAGGAGGATGAGGATGATGAGGAGGAGGCAGAGGAAGCAGGAGGACCAGCGGCAGAGCACGAGGATGACGAGGAGCAGCAGAGACAGCAGACAGCGGGCGCCTGCGCGAACTTGACAGGGGTGCCGAGAAATTCCACCGCGGGGCTGCCTTCCACCGCGCCAGCGAGAGGAGGAGGAGGAGGAGGAGGAGGAGGAGGAGGAGGAGGAGGAAAGAATCCCATCAACACTGGTCGATACACGCGCTTCTTTCTGCGATGCTGGGGAGGAAGGGGGACACGAAGAGAAAATGGGCTGTGGGCAGGAAGAGTACGGAAGCTGAGAGGAGGTGGAGAAGGACGAGGAGAGCAGGAGAATGAGGAGAAGGATGAGGAGAAAGCGAAGGATGAGCGAGGGAGGCGGAGAAGGATGAGGAGGAGGAGGAGGCGGAGGAGGAGGAGGAGGAGGAGGGGGAGGAGGGGGAGGGAGGGTAGTGGTTGCTTCCCATAGGTGGGTATCTGAGGCGATTGCTAATAAGTTCGGCAGATGGAAATTCAAGCATGTTGAATCCACCAAGAACCTTGGCGTAGGTTTCCGTGTGCGCGGCAACCTACTTTCCAAAGTCCACATTGGCAGAATTTGCAAGCGCGGGTCCAAAGCCCACTGCCTCCTTCGTTCGGATGCGGTCGGGACCAAGAAAATCATCAAGACTGGGGGGCTGCCAACAAGGATGTACGGAACTAAGGCGCATGGCCTCTCTGACCGCAAGCTTGGCCAGTTACGTGCCGTCATTGCTCGGAGTGCTCTTGCAATGTCTCGAGGGCGTTCGAGTCCCTTGGAGTTCCTCTTGTGCGCTGACCCCTCTCTCGACCTGTGGCTGCCCAGGAGCATCCTCACCAAACTGTTCAGAGCATGCCAGAAGAACGTTGCCTTGGATTGGAAGGTCGTTCGTGGCCCTGCCGGGGCTCCAACATCTCTTTAGTCAGAGGACGGGAAGGTCTTAGTGCGCATAGCCACCCTTTGCTTCGGCCTCCTCGTCTCGAGCCTGTTGTTGATGCTCTCCGTCGGCACCGCCATGCTGGACAGCACGCGGCTACGGCGTTCCTTTGAGGCTCAGTGGCAAGATGCTTACCCACGCGGTGCACGCTGCTCACGGACAGAGGAACCATCAGTACCATGTGCAAGCTGCGCGGAGGAATGGGAACGCCCAAATATCGTGCCGTTGTATATGTACTCTGCCACGTGGCTGACTAGAAGGGAGGTGGATGTCCCAGATGCGTTCGACGATTTCGAGAAGGCTTCGCGGTACGACCTGGGCACCACCCGTTGCCCAGTCCCCAGCCGGGCTTTCCGAGCCTTTCCCCCCGCTGGGAAGCGTCTCAGAGTCTGGCACGTGCTTCCCCCTCAGGGGGGCCTCTTGTGGCAATGCCGCCATCGACGGATCCACTCTCCACCCTGGCGACACCGTGCCCGAGCGTGCTGGTGGGGCGGTTGTCCAGGTGGACCGCCACGGGGGGGGAGGGTCGGCGGCTCCCTGTACGGTTCCCTGCCCCGCCCTGTCCAGCAGGCTGGATGGTCCGAAGCGTGGGCCCTCCCCGTGCCCCTGAACAATCTCGGGGTGGAGCCGGTGACGGGTAAGATGGAGGTCCAGGCGCCCACCAGCCCCTGGACGGCCTGGCGTGTTCAGAGCAGTGGAGGCAGGCGGATGCCAAGCATCGGGACCTCTCAACGCACTCGCAGCCGCCAGCGCTGGGCCCAAACCAGCACCCAAACCTACGCCTGGTGGGCCTGCAGAGGTATCCGCGAGGCTGACCGTCTGGCCGAAGTAGGGGCCCGCGCGCACCCCACGCCCCAAGCCCTGATAAAAAAACGCCCACGGCGCGATAGTGTTCTCTCCGAGGTCGGGCCCCGCTGTTGCCGTGGATCGGCGGCGCCCTGTCCAGGATGCACTCCCCGGGGTGCGGACAGGCTTGGGGCCAAGCGGCCCAAGCCCCCCCCCCCCGCCGAGCTCGAACTCGTGCCGGAGCCCCAGGGCCACGGTATGGTGTAGGTGGGCACGGGATCCGCCTGCGTCAACTGCGGAACTCGAGGCTGGCCGCGCGCAGCGATCTGTGCGTTTTTCTGTCCGTGTGCTGGTCTGCCCGGGCTGCCCGCCTCGCCCATCACGCGCGCCGCCGCTGCCCCAAGAGGGGGCCCAGAGGTGGAACCCGAAAAGACACTTCGAGCCTTCGACCCCGAAACGCCTCTGGGTTGTCCCAGGAAGCCCACAACAGGCCCCCAGGAAGCCCCAAGAGGGCCGCAAAAAAGCCCCCAAGAGGCCCCGCGGAGGCCCCCAAGAGGTTGAAAAGCTGTGGCCAAGACGCCGAGGGCGAAGCTCCTGGCCGAGGCCTGTTTCAGAGGGGGGGGCTCGGAACAGGGCGGCCATCGAACCTCTCAGCCTTCTGACAGCGGGGGGGGTAACCGTCGTCCAACATCTCGTTCGGGAAATCCTGCAAGCTTGTGCGGGAGAGGGCCTCTTGAATGCCGTTCGATGTTCACTCCTGCGTGTGTGCCACGTGTTTTCATCAGAGGGATGTCTTGCGCCAAGGACCCACGGACCTAAGGAGAAGGGGCAGGGAAGATCGGCAACGGCAGCTCACCAGGCTAGACGGGGCGGGATGTCGCAGCCCCTAGCCTCGGAATGGGACGAGGAGCAGGACGAGGAAGGAGGAGGACTAGGAGTACGAGGAGGAGGAGCAGCAGCAGCAGCAGCAGAGGAGGAGGAGGAGCAGCAGCAGCAGAGGAGGAGGAGGAGGAGGAGGAGGAGGAGGAGCAGAAGAGGTTAAGGGGCGAGGAGAAGGAGGAGGAGGGGAGGGAGGAAGAGGAGAAGGAGGAGGAGAACGAGGAGGAGGATGGTGAGAAGGAGGAAGCCAACGAGGAGGAGGAGGAGGAGGAGGAGGTGGAGGAGGAGGAGCAGGAGAAGGAGAAGGAGCAGGAGGAGAAGGAGGAACAGCAGGAGCAGGAGCAGGAGCAGCAACAGCAGCAGCAACAGGCGGTGTGGGAGGATGGGGCAGGGATGGAAAAAGAGGAGTGAGCTTACCAATAGAGGAACGGACGAACAAAAGCAGGGGACAAAACCAGCCAAATGGACACACTCACTGCACGGACAGGCGCGCACGATCTGCTTTATGCGCGGCGCGCGTGCGCAGCAAAACTACAGATGGGCGCATGCATGTGTCTAGTCATACGGTAAACATAGGACACCACAACTGCGAGTAAGACGGCAAACAACACATTATCATCCAGCTGTACACGCTGCCACACTCCGATCCTCACGGCACTGCTGCCGATAACGAAGGCATTGCATAGTTTCTGTGTGAACAAAGTTTGGCGGCGCGCAGAGGGGGTGTGTGGGGAGGGTGGAAGGCTTCTTAGAACGAGGCTGCTTCTTAGAGGCGCCGGCCTTGCATCCAAAGACAAGGCCCGCGCCTTCTAAGAAGCAAGGGTGTTTCTAAGAAGCTTTCTCCCCTACCCGTAACCCCTCTGCGCGTGGCCGACAAGGTGTTGTGGGAAACATATGGCACTCTTCCACATGTTCGAGACTATCGGACTGAAACCAGCCGCGGACACGACCCGCTCTGGTGCACCCGCGGGAGCGTGCAGACGTGGTCCAAGCAATGGCCAAAACTCGACAAGAAGAGGCAAACACGCACAAGGGGAAGGGGTCCGCCAGCCCCCTTGCGGGGCCACCAGGCTGCAGGCCGGGAATTCGCAGTTTCCTGTACCAGTTGCAGCTTCCAGTTTCCACTGTTACAATTCTGCTTCTTGCTGCTTACTGTTCCTTGTTGACTTCTTGCTGCTCACTGTCCCTTGTTGATGGACCGCGCGAGGGGGGGAGGCCCAAAACGAAAATTCTTACCACGCCCAAAACGTATGCTCTGAATTGCTGGGGTGGGTAAAAATTGACACCCCTCACGCAGATCGGCGGGGTCAGGGTCCAAAAACACATGGGATTTGCCACATTTCTAAAATTTGCTGGCACCCCTCACGCAGATCGGCGAAGTCAGGGTCCAAAAACACATGGGATTTGCCACATTTTTGAAATTCGGTGGCACCCCTCACGCAGATCGGCGGGGTCAGGGTCCAAACGTAGGGGATTAGCTACATGT